ATCTGAAATCTAAATGTTTTTGTTGTTGTTGTTGTGTTTTTATTATCATAGTACATTTTGCTATAAAGATTTTTTACAAATCTGCCGAAACAAACATTTTAACATTTTGGCAAGTGTTTTCATTAAAAGGCCTTACACCTACGTGATTTCCACGTTTGGACATTATACCTACGTATGGTAACACTTGCCAAGAACTCACTTTAGGCAGTTTTAAGATGGGCTCTCTTAAAGAAAGTTAGATAATGACCTCCCTTCCCGTATAGGGCATAGGGTATGGTATTAAGTTCTGGACACCCATAGAGATGAACACTTCTTTCCCAAGTGTAGAACACAGATCTTCTCTGTGGACAAGATAACCCAGGCCAAGATGATATTCAGATTAGGCTCATTCCTTGTCTTTCCTTCTCTCTTTCTTTCATCTTTCTTTCTATCTCAAAGCATACTTATTATTAGATTTTCTCCCTTTTTCTTTTCTTCTTACTAAAATATACTATCTATATATAACATAGAGTATTACTTTTTGTGTATCCTGCTCATACTACTCTAGTAGTTCGATTTTAGTAACATTTTGACTTATTTTATACATGGGGAGGTTATCTGGAGGAAGATACAGCTCCCTGGTTGTTTGTTAGAGATACAGATTAAATTATAGATGAAAGCTAAAAAATCAGAAGCCTAGTGTAACTGTATTAATAGTTTGTGTTATGTTTACAAACAGATATCAAAGTAATCTAAATATTGGTTTGATGCTCCAATACACCAATGATGCCATCTGGAAATTACCTTGAGATATGTTTTAGAATAATCTTAGCCAGGCCCAGGTGGAAATAAAGGAACATCTTGTATTATACTTCACTTAAACTCTGGTATTTTAAACTCCCATCATTTTCTGAATCAGAATTTTATCAAGATTTTTGATGTATTGCAAGCATTTTAATTTTTTCTGTTTTTCATTTTTGCTTTTTTCAATTCTTAACCAACTTAATTCTCAATTATAGCTTTTTAATACAGAGAATCCTGCTTACTGTGTCAGTTTTGTATGGTTCTATGGGAATAGAGGCACCTAGTGCTTTCAGGGCTTGCATTAACGGCGTCCCGTACATGTTAAGGACTCAAAAATAATTTGGAGGACGCAAAAATTAAAAATATTTCCGTTTTTTGGACGCAAATTTTTTTTAGGTCAATTCTACAATGTGTTTACAACGATACCTAACAAAAACAAATAATTATGATCTCTCACCTTTATTTGAATCGTAAATAAGGCTCAACATGTTGAATATTTACAAATAATCATGATTCTCTCGAATTTTTTCGACTTGGTTTATTTTTAGATTTGAAACCATGACACGCCACAGTTTTTCCTATTCAGAAACAAATATTAGGTTATTCATGAAATAAAATGTATTCATTGTCGAATGAACGAACATGCATTTATTCAGTCCGTACTTAACGTTTACTTCCGTTTTAATTCGCGGCAAGAAATCAAAAACTGAAAAATAAGGGACACACTTTTTTTTCAAAGGACACACTTTTTAAAAAAATTGCGTCCTTTGGACTCACAAATTTTCTAACCTAATGCAAGCGCTGGCTTTAGTAAGATGGATGGGGCCACTTCAAAAATCTATGTACTTGAGGTTCTATTGGGATTTCCTTTTTTTGTGTTGATTGAAGTGCTTTACCAAGAAGGTTATTTGAGCATTAGAGATCAGAAACTCACACTCAGCTCAATGCAATATATCACATCATACTTCTGGAATCTCAAGTTGTAAAATTAAGTTACATTTATAAGGACCTGTGATGTTTTATGTGAAACAATTTGATTCAACTTTTTAGTTTTTTATGTTGGGGACTTGAAGTAATAGTTAAATGTTTTCAGGTTTTAGTACTACATTTGTTTACCTGGTGGTCTTTTACTGTTTATATATACATATATAGCATTCTGTCTCTATAAGAATACTTCACTTTTAGCATTTAATAATATTATTAAGAAAATCCACACACTACATTAATTTGCATAATTACACGCTGTATATCTGTAAGTAAAAGCTCACTAACGTAGACTGATTCCTTTTATTTTGTCTCGCCATAGAAAATCTATTTGAAGTGATTCTAAGTTACTGCTCCCCAAGTTCCATGATAAAAGGCAATCTGATTTTTGTTGGTCAATAAACCTAACATAAAATTCCTGTTGGGGTAAACCCATGTAGATTAATTGGTAAATAAGGTTTCTTGAAGTTGCTACAGCTAGAAATAAAATAGGGAGTTGTGTCAAAATATTTACAGTGGAAATAGAAGACCTAGAAACATGGTTTATTTTATACATTGTATTGTATAAACTTGAAATCTGGGAAGAAAACATGGATCTGTACATGAACGATTTGACATGGAAGAACAATTTTATTTTAGTTTTTTCAGTTATATTAGCTAGAGAAGCCAAATTAATTTTATTATGAAGTACAAACTTGTATAATGTTTATTCTGATATCAAGACCAAAAAGGACGGATGCTATTTTTTCATTGTTCTCTTTTCAATGCATTAATATAATCGCCTAACATGTATTAAAACACATGGCTATGTTTTTGTGCTTGGTGCAATTGTAATCATGCTATTTTGCCTTGCTAATTGATTGTAAAAAGAGAATAACATTCATCATATGCAAATGAGACCACTATAATACACAAATGTTGATACCTTGATGAAAATTCATGAAAAGGTCATTAATTCAGAAGGAACAGATGTTTCTAACAGAGTGATATATGCTATTATGGTTTGTATTGTTCACTATTTTCAGATTTAAAGTCCCTGTATAAAGTTTAAACCACTTTGGCTTATAGGGTTGTCTTATCCAATGTTATCAAAGTGTGATATGTGAAACCTTTTTCTTAATTTCAAAAGGGGTTTTTGAAGGACTTTTTGTTGAAAAAATCGTGTATTTATTTTAAACTAACTTTTAGAGGTCACACATATCTTTTAGTAATAGCCACGATTCATACCAATGCATAGCATTCATCGTCGCATGTTTTTGCTGAAAAAATAAGAAAATCAGTTCATAAATAAGCGAGAAATGAACTTATCAGTGCATGAAAATGGTTCAGAGAAAAATGCATTTCAAAATTTTAGTTCTAGAAACCAATGGTACAATGATATCTAAAACATAATATATTCTTCCTTTTAACCTGGTTAGACAATCAACATTGGTTTATTATAGAAGTTTTTTGCCACCTGAGTGAGTCATAATGACATCACTAATGTAATATTCAAAATATATATCAAAATATTTTTGATATGCTAAAACATTGATGTGGCCCATAAATATGGCATTTTATTATTGAAATAGTGTGTCCTTTGTTCAATCTTTGCATTGGTGTTAAAAAGATAATCTTTTTTGAAATGTATGAAGAAATATTTGATGAATAAAAAACTTCAACTTTTTTGAAAAATGGCGGGAAATTTGAATATTTGAGAAATGAATGCTCATAACCTTTTTCAAATTTTTTCAAAAATCTCTAAAATAACTTTTAAAGTCATGACAAATAGTAAATGAATGATAAAAAAATATTTTCAAACTTTACATGGGGACTTTAAAGGCCCAGAGATTTGGACCCGGGTGAAGCTATTAATCAAGCTGTCACAGCTCAGCCAATCAGTGCTAATGTGGCCAGTTTAAATGTCCAGCATAAACAGAAACACATGGTCTGCTACAAGTGAGATACAGCCTTATGCTATGTTTGTTTACTTCTAAACGGATAAGAGATGCCCATTGGCTAAAATTTAAACTGTCAGTTATGCTAATGAGCATATTTACAAAAAGAAATTGTCTTATTTCACAAAAACTAAACAACATTTTCAGAATTTGATTTGAAATTTATAGTCATTATAGATTCATGAACCAGAACCACTGTAACAAAAAAGAGCTTGTAACTCATCATAACAATCTTGTTACAGCAGAAAGTTTGAAAATTTTCTCATTTTGTTTGAACTGGACCTTTAAACTGCCATATTTGGCTTTTGTGGGCTGTTCCATCTGCCTTTTATACCCGCTCTCAGTCTTTAACAATTCAGGAAATTCCTCTAAACAAATTCCAAACTTTCATTTTCAGACACCAAAGTGAATGAATATTAACTAAATGTTAGATGCCATGGTCTGTGGTAGTGTTTGCAATCTTTTGGGTCATGTACATAGCTCCTTGAGTGTCAAGTTGTCAAGTATTGGATGCCACCTCTGGATAACTCCACCAAGGGAACATTAATATTACTGTAATCACTTTTGAATTGACTTTCTATGCAAATATTGAAGTGAAATAGAAACAGCCCGGGTTTGTAGTTTAGCGTGTAATTGGTTAATGTCAATGAATATGCAGTCTCCAGGAATCAAATGTCATTTTTCTCCCATTGAATGATGATGTTGTTGCTTGGCAACAGAGTACTCAATGAAACTACAGTATATCAAGCTGACCTGGACAATTGCTATGTTTAAGGTTGCAATTGTGTTTTAAATCAAAAGTACTGTATTATTGATATATAACAAAAAATAAATGCCTTAAGGTAGTTATATATTGGCAAACAATGTATCCATACATTAGCAAAGGAGAACTGATTTCATGAATGTTAAAAGCTTTAGGTCATATTTCGAGATATCATACTGTTCTAAATCATTTTTAGTTTGCATGAATATACATGTAGTTTGAAAAGATTCAATGAATTACACCATATACTGACATTTTTGATACATGTTTGTCACACTTGGGCATAAAAGTTTAACAAAAGATTAGATAAGAAATGTAAAACATATTTTTTGGAAAGCAGTCATTCCCTAGGATTCTTTATGTCACTTCTAAAAGTGGTAACATAATTTTAAATGTTGATAGTTTCCAACTTTTTTGGAGATGTTGTCCGACAGTGGTGTCTGTAACAAATAGCGGTGGTGACATTTTTTTCATGTACACGTACCCTTACATTAACAATACAGTAAGGTATTCAATGTGTAAAATGAAAAGTACAGTTTGGATATATAATTTACCTTTTAAACCCTTACTCTCCTATATCCCAACATGGGAATGGAATGAAAATGCTTTCTAGATTCAAGCAAATAATGAAGTCAGTGACCCCTCCTTTTTGCTACACATGTATTTTTGAAACATAATTATATCATGAACATTTTATAAAAAAAAATATATGTACCTCATTTTTAAACCTCAGGTATAAGTTTCATATTAAAAATATGTGGTTCACATGTAAACATTGTAAACATCTCACAAGGCCAATCCATTGTTATCAAAATATTGTTCTGACCCCTAACAAATGTTTTCTGAGTGGAGAACATATATTTTGTGGAAGAATTCAATTTCTTGGAGTAACAACAACAATGCTTTGCATAATCATTTTCAAGCAAGAAATTGTTTATTTAATATTAGAATTTTAACAGTTTTTTCAGTCTTTCATGTCTTTGTTCCAATGATCTGTCAAGTGATTTCATGTAAGTGCTATCCAACCACTAACTCATTCTTCCTAAAAATCAAAAGGTATTGTTTTTATTTCATTGATAGAGACTGTCATTCACTATATCGGGGCTATTTTTGTCATGCTATGAGCAACATAGCCAGCATACAATTAAACCATAATAAAAGGTTCGGCTTTGAATACATAGATTGTACGGAAATACGTCACTGATCAACAATCAAATGAGTCTTCTATCATTTAGCCTATTGATGATATTGCGTCATCCAATCCGCAAACTTTATATTATGAATATACTTACGTCGCAGAACATGCAGTTGCTGAAATCTCTGATGTGATAGTCAAAAGTTTCTTAAAACTTTCAGGTGTATAATCTTCTGTTTGCAGATTGAAAATCAGGTTAGGGTTAGGTTGCTGAAATTACAGAATCTTATGTCATATTTTATGTTATTGGCTTGCCATTTCATTCATACAAAATTATTTGATTTTGTTTCATTATCGGCAATCGCAAATGGTGCCACTTTGGAAATTGTGTTTAACAAACAAATCTATGAGTAAAAACGAAAGGTAAAAACCAAAATAGAGACATACCACTTTTTCCCATTCAATAATGCCATCCTTTAAATCATTTGCGTTAGGTAGGCCTATGATAACCTGTTGTATACCTGCTTTTACATTCAGCTTACCTTTAAATAACAAATCAGCATTCTGATAATCTATGTGTTTAGAAATTTGGATTTTAGAATCTGAAACCATAAATCTGTACCCAGATTTAAAGGCAGAATCTGATCTATAAGGAGTGACAAAATTACAAGCAACATGTATAATTGACCTACCAATTTATTCCTTACAATATCAAATACAATATCTCCCAAAAGATTCACAATATGTTATAAATTGTTGAAGTTATTAATGATTCAAAGTGCAAAAATGAGTGGAAAATGTTTAGATTCTCCCAAATAATAAGAATGGTAACCAAATGGTAAATAATACATTAATGTAAAAATCTTTAGTTTTCCTGGAATAAAGTATGCACTTTTGTGATTTTTGGCTCACACAGTGAGCCTATGGGATCGACCAGGCGTCCGTCCGTCCGTTGGTCCGTCCGTCCGTCCGTTCGTCCGTTGGTCCGTCCGTCCGTCCGTTGGTCCGTCCGTCCGTCAACATTGGCTGCACAAATTAAAACTGCTATTCGGATTGAGTCATATTCACATTCATTTTATGCATATCCATAATGCCTATTTGACCTATCATCGCCATTTCCCAAGTTCGCCCGGTTTCCGAGAAATTGCGGATTTTGACATCAAAAAGTCAACTTTTCTGTAAATACTAGACACTTTGTTGAAGTAGAACTTTCAAATAACTTTTAGTAGTTGGTGTATATGCAACTTATGTCCTCTGAAGATTTCAAAGCTCTTAAAATTACGGTTTTTGGTGTTTACTCTATAAAATTTGAAAAAAAGTAGGACTTAAGTCATTTTCAGGAAACTTTCTCATGTATAAAGTCAATGGCAGGTTTTGTGATTGACAAGATTCTTAAAGTTTGCCTTATACTTGATCATTTCCTGCAATAAATTACATCATTAATAGATTTAAGCATTCCCTACATATTTCTCAATATATGTCAGCATCAAATTTTTACCGTTTTTGAAATATTTGACGTCAAAAAACAGTAAAAATAAGTTATTTTTCAACTTGCTTCAATTTGACCAATTTTTTTTTTGAAAATCATCTACAAGTTGCCAGGAGTTCAAATCTGACATTAGTTTTAGGATTTGACCTTTACTTGACCTTCACTGACCTTCGAAAGGTCAAAAAAAGTTGATTTTTCAATTTGATTTTTGGATGTAAATTTTGGTCAGCTTAATCACAAAAGACCTTACTGAGCTCTGAATGTGTGAAATTTTCAAGGTCAAAGGTCATCAAACTAGGTCACATAACTATGCTATCTAAGTTTCTCAAAGTTCGAGACTACAAATCCAAATCAATATTTTTGTTTGAAAGTCAGGATATAAATTCCTCTGAAGGTTCCAAACTGTGTGAGCATAGGACCGTGGGTCCTTCATTGTTAGAAAATAGACATGGCAATGACAATGACATGAGCCAAAAATATTCTAAAATTGAAACAATTTTTTCTTTAGCCTGCTCGCTATATCTGATTCCCTCTATAAAGGCATAATTTAATGTTAAATATTTTGTTCATGTTTTAATGAATGTGGCTGGAAACTACATTTGGCTTCGGAACAGAACAATTTCGGAACGGTTCCGGAACAAAATGACCATGTGTATTATATTCAAACTCGCCCCATTTATTGTAGGACAAGATCTAGTCATTTGCAACAAAAGTACTTAATTTTGCAAGTATATCGACAATGACTGGATATCTAGCTTGTACAGGAAATACAAAATTAGATCTATGTGTGACGTGTCCTAGAAGTGGATCTCCCATTCGAACTGGGAAGGAAAACAAAAATTAACGATCAATTCACTTTGTGCGTCTGTTATTTGAACCTCACATCTTTAAAGGCACTCTGGTCCCGCTCAGAAGCTAACCGCCGATCACAGGATTACCGCAATTTTTCCAAACGTGGATTTTCCTGTCCTTTGAAGCGTCTTCAATACATTGTTACTCGGGTTTAAGCTCATTTGACATTTCGAGTTTAGCCGCCGCCATGATCAGTGCAAAGTCGCAGATTATACTACTCAAGAAAGATAAACCTATCTGGTAGCAAAAACCTCTTGAAAACTCTTCAATGATAAGGAGTGAAAAAATGGACTTCTTTCGATGAAAAGAAAAAATGCCTTTTTGCGGCGATTTGAGGGCTAAAAGCTGTGTAAAGGTACGATGCTCTTCTTCCAGAACCAAACCAAAATGTTGAATAATTGTTCTGTGTTCCGACCCGAGAGCCTAGTTTCGCGGAATGGAACAAAATCGGGTATCTGTGACACCTCTACTGATAACACCATTGCCTAGCCACCCAAACCCCAAGATTTATTATAGTATTCTTGTTAAAAGTCGAGTCGTATCCAGTGATCCTGGGCCTATCGTAAAATGAAAGCTTTGAATATGTTATAGCCTTTAAAAATGTATCTTTTTTCTATGTATCCAACTAGAATTTGTGCACATACATTATATCGATTGATAATAGCTAAAGAAAATCCTCTAATTCTTCGTCTTTTTCTTCTCCTTAATCTCCGCCATTTTTCATTAAACAAGAAGTTTGTTCTCTAACGTCCATGCAATATTTTTTCACTTTTATTTCAGATTACGCTTTGGATTCGCCCTTTAATGTTTTCTAATAATTGTCAAGTGATTTCTGTAAGGAATGTTTTCATAAAAGACTCACACTATCAGATATTTTATCAACTCAAGCAGCCAGAAAAATTAGTTTCAATTTCACCCACTAGGTGTTTTGACGTCGACTTGGAAAGAATTAGAAAAATCTATAAGTGCAACTCCTTGTATAGAATTATAGATTCTAAACTATTTATCTGTTATACTGGTTGATGAATATTGCCATATGCATACATTTTAATAAAATAGGAATAAGGAAGAAGATGTTAGACCAAACTTCGCCCAATAGCTCTGAAAAGGTAAAATTTATCCATTTTTCTCTTCACAGTCCTTGTAGCTGCTTTAATAACTAATATAGTAAGATTAAAGGTAACAAAAATCAAACTGTTAGGCTCTCAAATTAGAAAATTCATTACCCTGTGTTGGTGTAACATGCTCATTCTTCCCTCCATAACGTAACCATGTGCGACCATCAGTAGATAAAACAATGACATCACCAAACTCTTTTCTGTTCCTAATTCCATCTGGCTCTTTACCTCTAGCTATTCCAAAGTAATCTTTGTGTGTGCGAGCTCTCTCAAGTGCATAGTTGGTATGTGTGTATTTACCAGTTTTTTCTGGTATCAGTCCAATAGCTACAAAGTCAAGAATATTTATTAAATGTGGGTATTATTTTTTTTTGAGAGTTTTAGATTGCAAACACATTAGTGTTCTTTATTTTAAGATATCTAAGCACAAGTGCCAAAGGGAGAGGAGCAAGTGATGTTTTGTAAGTAGGGCACAAAATTCATGTTATTCCTTTTTTAACGCTTTTAATATATACATCCCATTTTATTTAACATGATGTGTAATGGTAGCATCAGATCTGTAAGAGATGACAATATTGCAAGCAACAAGTACAGTTGACCTAGCGATGATCTTAATCATAAACTCTCCCAAAAGATTTGCTATACAGTGCGTATAAAAAAAAACGCAACAGATTGTTATCTCGGAAAAGCACAAAACCAATGATAACAAAATTAATTTCATTCAATGCACCATTAAGCCATGTGTCTCCTCTTTACAATGATATATCATTCATTGATATTTGGTCATGGTTGGGCGAGTAATCATTCCATTTGCAAAGTGGGCCAAAATTAGCTTTTGGCCAAGTTATAAACATCGCAAAAGTCAGTGTACGGAGCCTGATGCAATATTGGGAAAAAAACATAAAACCAATGCTGACTGCATCCTTTTCATTCAATGTACCAAAAAGCCAAATTACTCCTCTTTGCAATGGCATATCATTCATTCACAGGAAGTCATGACTGGCTGAATAATCATTAATTTTGCAAAGTGGGGCAAAATTCAGCTCGGACCCAAGTTTTAAAAATTGCAAAAGCCAGTACAAAGGGCATAGGGGCTATTGGAAGAAGATATGACAGGTGTGGCATAGACAGTAAAGTGTCCATACTCATAATCTTGCAAGAATACATCCTATACCTCTCCAAATTGCCACCACTTCCTTGCACATAAAGATGCGCTCATCTGCCCACGTCATGCATGGTTCAGCCCTGAGTCATCTGTGGGTTAAAGCAGAGAAAAGCAGCCCATGGGCAATTCTTTCTCGAGGTTTTGCAATATCTAGTGGAGGAATTGTGAGCACAGATGCTCCTGAGATAGCTCCAAAAGAAAAAGTCACAACAATTCAACTCAGAGGAACTTCCATTGGCACTTAGCCCTTGCACTGATTTTTTCAATATCTAAAACTTGGCCCACTGTGTAAACGGAAGGATTTCTCACCCAACCATTATCACATGTGAATGATAGACATATCATCGGAAAGAGGAGAGATGTGGCTTTATGATACATTAAATGAAATTGATGTAGGTATCACTAGTTTTGTGATTTTACAAGATAACTACTTGTTGCGTTTTTTTTTATACGCCCTGTATGTAAAAATTGTTGAAATTGGGAAAATTTTTTAATTCTCCCAAATAATAAATGTGGTAGTCACATTCACAGAAAAATTGTAAGAATCTTTTGTTTTCCTGAGATAAAGTATGCGCTTTAGGGACTTTTTTAGACAAGATATGATTTAAAAAAATGAAAGATTTAATAGTGTCTGTTAAGGTTGCTCGCTAGATCGGATACTACCTTTAATTCCAGTTTTTCAACTTTTGGAATTATCAACTGAGTGAAGTGCCAGGTTGATCAAAATAGTATAGTAACATTGAATAACTACTACAAACCTTCAATGACTTCTTCTTTTGTCTTGAACTCTCCAAGTTTGAACTCATGTATGATTTGTCCAAAGTAAGATATAGCTCCTATATTAGTGTCGGGTGCAGCTGACATGAGTTTTTCAGTGAGATCGATGAAGAACTGTTTGACAAACTTAATATCTTTAACGTTGATGCTCTTGGATCTGTCCATGATGTAGACAATATCAAGAGTATTGTTACAGCTCACTGAAACATTTGAAACTTTTTAAAGTTGAAAATTTCAAAATCAATCATTATAGTCATGGTTATAGTGATATAGTAAAGGTGCTGCTTTTGGAATATTCAACTTTTGTTAATTCTTGGTCAATCTAAGAAAGCCATAGACTTAAGAGTCAAGAAGGAATTTTTTGGGAAATGGCCACAATTACTTGTTGACAAATGTAATCTTTGACAACTCTAATAACAGTTGACATATTTTGTTCATATTTTATATGGTGATGCCATATAGACATAGAAATCTGGTCAGGAAGGGATTTTCAAGATGACTGATGAATCCAAGATAGCTACTTTATTTTATAATTTTTTTGATAACTCAAATATCAATTGTTATTGACATCAATTGCTAACATCATGGGTATAGATTTTGCCGGACAATATTACTACTCTACTACTTCCTGGAGTGGTTATTACTTTCAGATAATGTCCAAAATGACTGGTGATTTAATAAAATATGTTTCAACGGTCAGTGGCATTTGCTATTCCTCGGAGTTGCTGTTTTCTCGTTTTGTTATGTTAAAATGATTGTAATTATAGACTAACCTGGCACATCTTTCTTTTCACAAATATATTTTGATAGTGATAGCATTAGAGCAGGGAGTGGGTCTGATTCTGTCAGAGATAGGCGTGTGACAGGGTCATATGCATCGATCTCTACATTCCCTAGTCTTGTATCCCCTGGTTGAGTGACATCAAAATGCAAAGTGATATACTTTATACCACCATGAGACCCACGTAAGAGCTCTATTTGTTCCTTTGTTTTGGACAATGCCTCTGCCATGTTGCTCTTGCGATCAAATGAGATCCCATCTGTAAGAACCACTACAAACTTTCCCCTGAAGAAAATTTAGTAAATAACAGTTTACACCAAACATGTACAATGTCCAGGTATGGTAGTTGCAAATAAGTGCTTTTTGACATAAGAAAGTATAGTGTGAATCATTTGATATATAGATGTACCATATATAGTTGTTACAAAAGTTCTTTTTGGCTCATTTGACAAAAAGTATATTTTCTCGTGTGTGTATAGTTAACCTTGGTATTGTTTTTCCATCTTTGTCCTGTACATCATCAAAATATGTTCCATTGCGTACCATGCTGAGGGCCTTGTATGTTTCAGCTTTAAGGTAGTTACATGTAGTTCCTCCATGGATATCTGTTTGAGTGAGTGCAGTTTTAAATTCAGCTGCTGTCTTTTTGTGAATTATCTCTTCTGCATCCTATTCCAGTAATGAAGAATCATATCATGTAACATTTGAAAAACAATACAGAATAACTTAAATCCTCATTGACTACACTATAGAACTATTGTGTCTAACCTTGTGAGTAGTGCTGCATACAAAGAGTGATGTGAACGTATTTATAAGGCAGCTCAGTTACCATATTATGGGGATATTGCTCACCTTGCTGTATGTGATCAAGGAGAGCTTGGCCCTTCCATTGGTGTCAATTAGTTTATCGGCTGCTCTTTGCATAAATAATTCTGCTGCATCAACATATCTATGCTGTTTCAAATTGCAGGAATTTTGCAGCACAAATACGATATCCACACAATGAGGAACTAAAGTAGAAAATATATGTTTGATTCTTATAGCCCAAGAATACACTACAATATGGTTTAGTATCTTGACAGACTATTATTTAACCTCAACTTTTACATTTTCATTGAAATCAAGATAAAATGTTAGAACTCTTATACTGCATTTTAACATGCTTTATTTTATTTTGTCTATCATCTTAGATCATGCTAACTTACATTCGTATGATGCGAGACTCGGCATTCATCAGAAAATTAGAAAAATTTTGCCACCCATGAAGCAAATTAATTTTTTTACTGCTTTATAACTGGTGAGTTCAAAGTAACTCGTTTAAATCGTAATGGTGGTGATTGAAATTATGATGTAATGATAAAACTGCAACAAAATATTCGTAGATTTCTTTGAAAAACTAAGAAATATGCTTCACATATCAAAACAGAAAAAAACATGTATAAATAGGAAGGCATATAGGTCCGATTCCCCCTGATAGCATTAACACTGGTCTCGTGTATGTCATACAATTAATATTTGAAACACAACTATTATTCAAACTTATGATCAGACATAAGTGTGATGTGTACTTCAAGATAATAAAGTAATACTAGTATCATACTAATGTCCGATCATAAGTTCGAATAATAGTTGCGTTTCAAATATTAATATAGGCCTTACAATTTATACATGTTTTTTTTGTTTTTGGAGAATTCGATATGTGATGTATATTTTTAGTTTTTCAAAGAAATCTACAAATAATTCGTTGCGGTTTTATCTTTATATCGTTTTTTTCAATCACTGCAATCACTATTAAGCAGTAAAAATTAATTTGCTCCGTGGGTGACAAATTATTTCAAGTTTCCAGGTGAATGTCGAGTCTCACATCATACAAATGTAATTCTAGTCGATCTGTCTGCATGGGGTGACAAAGGGGGTAGCAATTTATGTTTTTTTTATTTAATCCAGTTTATAATTACTTACTGCCGACTTCATCCTCTGCACTCTGAGACAATACGACAAACACCAACAACATTGCGCATATACGCAGATCCATTTTGTTTCACAACTAAAATTTATATTATATAATATAATTTACAAAATATAAGACATTATTTTTTTATTTATTCATGTAATATAATTATGATCAAGCATTACATTTACACACTAGATACCCATAGGGTGTATATCAGTACATTATCAAAGTTTGAAAAACCATTAAGGTCTCCAATTTATACAATTTTATTATTGTTTGCATTTTCTCTTGCATTCTCTTATATCTTCAAATAAGGAATCGTGCAACATAAGTCTTCATTACAATGACACAAATAGGCATAACAAGTTCAATATCTATAAAGTTAGGCATTTGGATTGAAGCAAGTTTAATTATTTAAGCTTGTTACAATAGTAATAATGACTTACCTGATATTGTCCTTACTTAGCTGTTCAGTTTTTTAATAATCTAAGAAATTATAAAATGGCTTTTTATTATCAAATCTGTATCATCTAATTACTTTAATTAATATGTTGGCATTGTTTATCAAGAAAGATAAAATTGAGATTTTAATTGTCTGTATAATAGTATAATTGCTTTCATAAGTTAACCAGATAAGCGTCATTATTCTAATAAAAGCAGATATTTCCAGTGAATTGATTTAAACAGAAAAGATAATATAATATTGTTCCTGAATAAATGCCTTAATGATGAAATAAGAAGTTACATGTGATTAGTATAATTATCATCATAATCAAACACGGAAAAGATAAAACTGAAAAACAATCCCTGATAAAATTGCTGGTCTAATGAGCAATCATTATCTTCTGGTCATATCCTTGAATAATTCATAGAATATGAATGTATATATCTTCTTAATTACTATCACTGAGCATAATATATGTATTTAGAGCAAGCAAAACAATATAAAGAATGTGCAACCACACATACATTTTTAAAAAGGTTTAAGTACTGCAAATGTAGTTGGCCATTTAAAAATGATCTGCATGATCTTACATTTTTTTATTTTAACTCAAAAATTGATAAAATGATTTTGTTCATAATGTAGATCCATGCAAGAATTATTTAAAGAAATGATTTCTACCAGTCTTATCTGACACTATTAAATGTACAATTGGATATGTTATACCCTGGCATTGTCGTTATCTAGTTTTTGCACAAGTGATTTACTGAAGGAAGTAAGGGAGTGCTCTTCTGAAGCCTCACATGGCATCTTGTATATGAAGATGGCTCAAAGTTCTACCGTGGCTTCTTGAATCTCTCCATAGCTTGAAGAACCTCTCTGCACTGTAACTTCCTAGCATATCTTCAGCTTTGTAGTTAAACCTATTGTGCTCCAGACTGAAATAAAGTGAATTATATAAATAATCCTATGCTTATACATAAACACATAAATATAGGCTTAGGACTGTGTAATGGTATGAAATTCTTCATGACTTCAGTTTGTTGAAAAAATACCAAGATACCTTAAAAGGTTACAATAGTTTTCTTGTCTGAAATATATCCAGGTTTGCTTCTTGTTAGAGAACTGATTAGTTTTAGAGCATGCTGAGTAAATTTTAAAGCAGTCGTTTTTATGTCCCCACCACATAGTGTGGGGCCATATTGTCGTCCTAGGCGCATCCGTCCGTCCGTCTGTCTGGTTGGTTGTCTGTCTGTCTGTCCGTCCGTACGTCCGGCAGTTTTCTCCAAAACCACTACAGGTATCACCTTCTAATTTTCAGGAATAACTTATGAGTGCCTATAGATGTGGATGAAAAAAATTTAACTCGAAACCTACTTCCTGTCGGCCATTTTGAAGTCAAATGCTAAAATCCTTGTCTGCAAACTTTAAGAAAAACTGCTTCACAGTTGCTTTTAAAACTTTAACATCTTGTTCAGCTCACTTCATTCTAGATCTGATTAGGTTTTGGACCTGCTAGCTCAGTCATGTCAGCCATTTTGAATGTCTTAAGAAAACTTAGCGTGCGATAATACTTTGTATCATATTGAATGGTGTTTTTGAGTTTTCATACTTTAACTATTTAGTAGCTTTATAAATAATTTCAGATGTACTTTGCTGTAAAAGCCTACTTTATTGTTAACAGTAGTTATATGTGATCATTATCCCAACGAACGAAGTTAGGTAGGGATATAGTGAAGCCCTCCGTCCGTCCGTCAGTCCGTCAGTCCGTCAGTCCGTCCGTCCGTCCGGAAGATAACTCAAATATTAGTAGACGGATTTTCTTTATATTTGGTGGAAAGATGTATATTGATGAATAGTTTTACGCAAAAAAAAATTTTTCAAGATGGCCGCCGCTTTAAAAATGACGGGACTTTTTCGCAAAAATCATAAATTTTTCATTCTAAACCAAAGTAATTAATATTATTGTTTGAAATTTTGGTAGTATATTCGCAACATCTATCTATTTCACGTATATTCTGTGTTTTTCATCCTGACCCCCAGGGGCCGTGTATGGGGGGTCAGGACAACAGAAATTTTCGCTAATCTTAAGATCTTTCTGAAGTATAGCTTTATTATACTCAAATGAAAGGCAATTAAAAGTAGATTGCAAATATTGTATCTTTTTTCTGATTCGAGCCTCGTAAAATTCAAAATGGCCGTCTAATGTACGATTTAGCAATCATTTTTCGATCCCTTCAAAGTATGGCTATATTATACTCAAATTGAAGAAACTTTGGAGTAGATCACAATTATGCTATTATTTTTCAGATTTGTACCTCAGAAAATTCAAAATGGCTGCTTTGCAGGAATTCGCAATTCTAAAATCTAAATTTTTCAATTTTAACCAAAGTAATTAGTATAATTGATTGGAATTCGGTAATTGATATTTTGTTCGTTGGGATTTGCTACTCCGCGGAGTTGCCATTATCTAGTTTTGTAAAAAGAAATCAGCAAAAACTCATAAGGACTTTTTTATTGTCGGCCATTTTGGATTTTTCGGTCCCAAAATCTTGTCTGTGAAGTCTTGTCTGCGCGTTTTCAGGTGAACCGTTTGGTGGATCAATTTCAAATTTTCAGGGATGATTCTTAGTATATAAATCTAGATCTCATTAGTTTTTTGGCATTCTGGGTAAATGTCAAGGCAGCCATTTTGGATTTTCCGTCCTAAAATCTTGTCTGTAAAGTCTTGTCTACTCGTTTTCAGGTGAACTGTTTGGTAGATCAATTTCAAATTTTCAGGAATGATTCTTAGTATGAAAATCTAGAACTGATTAGTTTTTTTGCATTCTGGGTAAATGTCAAGGCAGCCATTTTGGATTTCCGTCTTAAAATCTTGCCTGTAAAGTCTTGTCTACGCGTTTTTAGGTAAACGGTTTGATAGATCAATTTCAAATTTTCAGGGATGATTCTTTGTATGAAAATCTACATCTGATTACTTTTTTTGCATTCTGCGTAAATGTTAAGGTAGCCATTTTGGATTTTCTTGTCTACCCGTTTTCAGGTGAACTGTGTGGTAGATCAATTTCATATTTTCAGGGATGATTCTTAGTATGAAAATCTACAAACAGATTAGTTTTTTGACATTCTTGGTAAATGTCAAGGCAGCCATTTTGGATTTTCCATCCTGAAATCTTGTCTGTAAAGTCTTGTTTACATGTTTTCTGGTTAACTGTGTGACGGATCAATTTTAAATTTTCAGGGGTGGTTCTTAGTATGAAAATCTAGAACTGACTAAATGTTTGGCATTCTGGGTAAATTTTAAGGTGGCCACTTTGGATTTTCCGTCCTCAAATTGTGTTGGTAAAGTCTTGTCTACTCATTTTCAGGATAACCATTTCACGGGATCACCACTTGGTGGGGACATTTTGTACACATTTGTGTTCTTGTTTGACTTATGTGCTATATTGTTCAACATGTGTGTTTGCTATTATAAAATGATAACACTGGTTTTGTTCATTTTGACAAAATGCAATAGATGATTTAAGATTGAAACAGCTGTTGATTAGGAATCAATATGCTTAATCATGGCGATCAACAGGCGTTCACCATAAACCTCTTATTTATAGCCAGTCTATTATTTTATGTTTTCATCAAGTTCATAGAAAAATTATTTTCTAGCAAAGCAATTCCCAAGATGCTGAATCACCTCAATCACTTGCTGAATTGTCGCTAATTAATTGAAGTTTAAAAATAGAATATAGCACTACAGATGAAGTATTTTTATAACCTATGGTTGTAAAACTCGTTAACTTCCTATTTTTCTTTGCTCTCTAGCATAAATTCACCTATATCCGTGTCTAACATCTTGCCTAGAGAAGTAGAAATTATAAAATGTCAATTTGAGCATTTTTCATAGAGATTAAACATGACATTGTAATAATCTATACTGCTGTAGAATCAGTGGTATTTTTAGCATTTTATGAATTGCTTTCATATTAGATGTGTCTCAACTGGTGTGTGTAATATAGCTACAATAGTTGAAGAAGTCATGAACATCATTATTTTTAATTTTTAATTGACTGCCATTATGGATATAACTTTAGACTCATTTTTTGCTTGTTGGATAGAGGTAAAGAGTTGTTCATCAAGGACAATTAGAACGAAATCATACTTTTCACATTTCAGGCTTTGTAATTTGCATTGTTAAAAATGCTGTTCTTAAAGATTGATGATCAATTCATGGCATACCTCCCCTCCCAAAAATAAGATAATACTTCCACATAAGTAAATGAAGCTCTGCTTTGAACCATATCTCAAATAATTTTGAGAATTTGATCGTTAAGTACATGTATGCAATAAAATGTACAACCTGCTTCCATGTGCTTTCATTCTAAATTGATAATTACCAAAAATGGACACAATTTCTTAATGAGAAAATATTGTCAAGTATGCGAAAAAAATACAAACTAAAATGTCTTTTATCTTGCTTTGCCAATGACCAAACACTAACAGGATTTGGAAATGGCCGTAACATGTTTTAAAGTGTCTATTAGAAGTGACATCAGTAGGAAGGTTCCATATTGATCACCTGGATATATGGGTGTGTGTCTAGCTGCTTATTCAGCTCACCTTTTGCAGAATCAATCAAGCAACCAATGAAAAGCTGCCAGATACAGCTAAGGCTCTATCCTTCTATTTGCCAAGTTTTTCCGTTTTCAAAATTGTCAATAGGGTTTCTTATGCTGGTGTAGACTTGCCATCAAATTGGCGGACAATTGTTTGTCTGTCTATTCACGTAGCTAGGAAACTAATAGGTCGACCTATAGGACTAATAAGGCTGTGTATTTAAAGACTTGGCATACAGCTCAAGGAGTAAAGGTAAGTCAGTGCTGACACCTATGATTGAACAAGCATTAGATGGTTATCATATTAACAAAATGTTATGCTTTGTTGGGGAGTGATACTGTCAGTGAATAGCTACAGGCTTTGATATTGTTCACTGGGGTATGTCCATTCAGCATGCCATGTAGTTCCAACTGGGATAATTTGCTTGCAGTTATGTGTATTTTAGTGTACATGTATAGAGTCATCACATGGTCAAGTACTCGGCTCAAGTGTAGTTATAGTTGCTAGCCTATATATTGTTTGCACTTGGTATTGTACTATTTGTTCAACGTGGTCGGCTATTGAAAGCAAGATTTGTATAGTTTGATTGGCAGA